CACACACACACACACACACACACACACACACGCACACGAAAACAAACTAATTTAAAAACAAAAAACCCTATACCAAACAAACAAGATCACTATCAGCCAAAAATACCAATAGCTCAAGTTGTCATGATCACATAGCAGAGATGACCTTTAAGATCAGTAAGTTAAGTACCGAAAAATACAATAAAAATCCCTCGAAAAAACGCGCTCTTAAAGACTGCCTCGTAACCTTACAAGTATGTATAGATAAATACACGAACAGGTTAAATCGATACTCGTGGAAAATTAAAATGGCATCTGATTAAATTCATATAACAAATACTCCAACATTGTCCCTAGCCTGTAAAAGACCCTTATTTTAAAGGTAGGGAGAGCGGCGTGGTTCATTATCAACAACATGATACTGCTATACATGAGTGTTTAGTGTACAACGATTACTCATTTGTTAACGACAGTTAATGCAACACAACAAAAACAGTGTACGTTTATGGACTGTTTCACTTACATATTTCAGTCAAGTACATGCTCTATTAGACACGTTGTTATGCAAATTCGTCTTCCTTTAGAACATCGGGCCTTGAGGAAGTTGCGATAGTCCGAACAGACCAAGAAGAACATTCAGGACAATAGCTTGACCCCTACCTTACGTCTAAGGCCCCAGCATGTAGCGTTAATTTAAAAAAAATAATAATACTCAGCCCGCGTGCGAGACTCAATTGCCTTTTAAAATGTTACTATTCGCTTGATCACATTGAGGTTAAGATTTATAGCCGTATTGCACCGTGTGATCATCTCTGTGCCTGGTCTGGGAATGGAACAAGGGCGAAAAACCAAAACTTAAATTGAGACTTTTTTGAGGATAGATCTATAACATTATCCTCATGCAGGTCTCGAGACTTAGCCCATTGTATATTTTCTGTTTTGTATTATCTAACAAAGCAAGAGTAGGTTAATTTTTGCTCAAACCCAAAGAACAAACTGCCAACAAAAAAAGACGGTAACATGCAGTGTCAGTGCGACAAAAAGTAGAACGAAAATAGTAATTATCATAATTCTTGGAAGATAACCCTTTTTCCTTCAGCATGAGCTTTGCTCACTTTATAAGATTGTATTTCAAGGAAAAGGAACGTCAAAATATATCAATGCATTTTCAGTCTAAACATTAAAATGTGATAACAGAGTGTCAAGACACAAAACAAACGTTAACACACACAGACACACACTCACATACACACACATACACACACACATACACACACGCACATCACACATACATACACATACATACACACAGACCATCGAGCACTCACACACACACACACACATACACATGCACACAAAAATACCATCAAAATATTAAACTAATAAATACACCCCAAAATGTTTCTTCATGTGCACAGATATACCTAATAAAATTGATATTTATGTATTGAAAACAACAACTGCCATAGTGAACCACTTTGTCTTCTCTGTTACTCTTACTGCTTCAATTAAAAAGTAAAAAAACAATTAGTAGGTTTCCCCGCCATCAGATATTCAAACTATGTGACCAAATCACAAAATATCTGAATTGATTCGGTCCGATCTGGAGTTGAACTCTGTAAACCTCACAGGCAACCCATCTGCTGGGTAAGGTACGGGCATGTGCTTCATCTTGACCGAGTCGCCCACCAGCTCCCACGAGCATGACCTCACCAGCTCCAACACAAAGATTTTGAGAAGGATCTTGGCAAACTCTTTTCCCACACACGTACGTGGGCCTGCACTAAACGGGAGGTAGTGGAACTTGTACTCCTGCTCGCGATGAGTAAGCCATCTACTGGGGTCGAATTTCTCTCCGTCAGCGAAGACGTCGGTACACTCGTGAGTCTCTCTGATGCCGTAGTTCACCGTCCAGCCGGCGGGGATTTGGTATCCCTGGACAAGACAGATGAGTTGTCCGTGATAAATAATAGGCAAGACAACGGCCTCATTTTATTAAAAAGAGATAAATGTAAAGGTATTACTGATCAATGTTTTTATGTCCACGAAGTTGCATATAAAGCCTTAATATGGATCAAACCCGTTCAATCCTGATGGGCCATACAACTTCTAAAAGACAACTCTGAATAAATTCAAGGAAAAAAATGTTACTTGTCAAGGTATGTGGACTTATCATTTTTGTTTTTAATCCTGTTTTCCCCAAAACTGAACATCTTCATTTTTTGGGGGGTACTGTCACTTTTGTTGTACACATGTTTGTACATACTTTTCATTTACCAACATGTGAAACACAACCCCCCCCCTCCCTTCCTCCAGGGAAAATCGGGATATGACAAGAACAGAGTAATTAAATCGAAACAGGAAAAACTACAGCAGACATTGGTGACTTACGTTGATGGTGAAAGTCTTCAGCACCGTTCTGAACCCGCCCCCAACAGGAGGCGTCATGCGAAGGATTTCTTTGGTCACAGCCGACACATACTCTAGTTTGGACAGGACGTATAAGTTCAAATCTCCCTGCTCAGGTCTGCTGAGACCGTGGGCCTCCAATTCCTCCCTTATTTTCGACACCACATTGCTGAGAAAAAAGAACGACGAATGGTCGTAATAATATACCAGTATAAAAGCACAATGCTTCCATTAATTAAGTTTTAAAAGAGTGAAATTGTGTCCATTCACTTGTTATGTCCAAACTGTACGATCACTAATCAATTTTTCTTGGATGTTTAAAGGAGATATCTTTTCTCAAATGTGATAACAAAATATCAGTGGAAATATGTCGTTTCAAACTCATACCTAAAGTTTAAACAGAACTGACCCGTGCCATCAGTTCTGTCAGTGTCGTGTTGAGCTAAGATGTGGATGGCCTTGGTTGGAATTTCTAATGTAGGTGTTCTTGAACGTATAGTCTTTTAAGGCTGTTCGATTTCTTCAATGTCCTTTTGCAGAAGGACATTTCATTCGAAGGGCCTGCTTCTTAAATAAGCCTACATTACTGAAAAAGGCGCTAGATCCATACAACACACTGACCTGTTGTTACCCAGCTGTAGTATGAGTGACGTCAACGCACTACCCGTGGTAGAATGTCCAGCGAACAGCAGCTCCAAACCAATCTCTTTTAGCTCCTCAACCGTCAGAGCTTCGTTCTCGCCGCTCGCCAGGAGGAGGCGGGACATGGCGTCCATGGTCTCCCTTGGAAACTGATCCTCTCCGTCATTCCTCGCCTGGCGTTCCCTCAGCACTCTTTGTTTCTGAATGAGGTTCTCTTCGATGGTGGCGTAAATGGCATCGCGAGCGGCCACGCCCTTGAGTGGATTAAATTTTTTTTTTTTAAAGTTAATATGATGGAGGCAGTCCTTAGTTTTCAAAGTGATTCAAGTTATCCTTCATAAATTCATATGTAAATTTTCAGCAACAACAATAAATAGATACCATACGCAAAAATAGTAATTCCTACGTTAGGATATCTGAAGTTAACATTGTGTGTTTCAACATTTTTTGCGTTCATCCTATCTACTCCAGCATCCAAGCCACCAATAAATCTCCTTAAACTAAAACTTTCGCAGCTTTTGTAATGACTACTATATTGATTTATGATCAAATACATGACATAACGTTTATGGATAAGTGTAGCTTTGGGGAAGTGTACAAACTGATGGCATTGAAGGGAGTCGGACCCGGCAGACCTACATGACTGCCAGGGCGGTGTGTTATATTATTGGACAACTCTTACAGAAATAAGAGATGAGGTTAAATGACATTCTTTAAAAAAAAGATAAATGTTAG